CATGGAGGAGCTCCAGATCAGTGACAAACTTGAATGAAGGTTAAAGGTCGAGGTGAGACAGACGTGTTTCTCTCACTTTGACCCCACGCTCGATCAGAGCTTCTCCCACTAGAGCCGCATTAGCCTGTGCTAGCAGAGCGCTCTTATTTTGAAAAAGCACACAAACCCGAGGGATTCTGAGGACTGAATCAGCATGAACACACCTGTCCACCTTTCCTCTAAGCCCCACCCAGCACCACCTGTCCTTATCCTCTTCCTTTACCCCTTTCCTGTCTCCTCCTCTGGGCTCTGAGTGGCTGCTGTGACTGTGGTGATGACACGTTAGTCACGCGGCGCGTCCATGAACTGGTTTAAACTGGTTCGGGAGCAACCCAAGCAGCAGCGGTTACTCTCTCAGGTGCAGTTTGGTCTCTTCAGCATCTACTTCCTGTCACATGGTGATGTTTGTCTCCACCCAACAGTCTGGCCGCTCTGCGTCTGTAGCATCGTTACGTGTCAGCCGACCTCATTGTTCTCTAAACATCACCGACGTAACAGCGGCGCTCGCAAATCCTTAGAAAAACTTTATTGTCACAGCCAGGAGAACAAACACTGATCGTCTCACTGGAGCCGTCGGACCCAGAGGTGATTAACGCTGTGGGTGTGTCCCGTGAGCATCGGCACTTCCTGTGGAGAGACTGAGGTGGTCGTTTGAGCTCAGGCTGCGTTTGTGCGAAGCGTTTCCTGAACCTGTCGATGAGCTGAAAGCACCTGCACGTCATTAACACCTGAATCTCTGCATTAACTACTTCTTCTTCTCTTCTTCTTCTTCCCCTTTTCTTTTTTCCTCATCTTCACTTCCTCCTCAGTTTGCTCCTCCCCCTTTCTTCTTATCTCCGCCCTCGCCGCCTTCCTTCCTGTCTGTCTGCGTGTCTGTCTGTGTGTCAGTGTGTCCTGGTGTTTGAGATCGACTTCGACACAAACACGATAAAGAGGCGACCTGGCTCACACAGACAGGTGACACACGCCTTCCATGCGTCCGTCCCCGCTGGACGCAACGTTCACTGACATCACTGCTCTTCCTTTCTTTTCATTTGGCCCCTCCCCTGTCTGTCTGTCTGTCTGTGTCTCAGTCTGTGGCTGGACTGTCTGTAGACGGCTGTTATTCTCACGCTTCTGATAGCGCCACCTCCTGTCTGCTGCAGGTACTGCACTGTGTCCACATGTTTGACCTTCAAAGTGAGGCAGTTTCTAGGAGGCGGAGTCGGCGGTTTGTCGTTACAATATTTCATTAGCAACACCAGGTGTCACCGGGCCTCACTCACCAAACCTTGGACAGGTGAACGTGGGACGGTCCTTCGAGGCGTCTCGCTGCACGGCGTTTCTCTTTGGTCCGTTTCAGTTTGCAAAAAGTCGAAAAAACCAAAACAAACATGATGACGTTAACGGGGCCGAACGGCGTTGGACATGGCGACGATCGTAGACCAGTCGTCTGTCAGGTGCTGCCTGTCTGCTGACTTCCTCCTCTTTCCGTCAGCGCTCAGGTCTTTTTGTTTTTCCATGAGTCTCAGGC